AAAAATATGCCTCTTGTTTTAATCTTTTTCCATCTGTCTCAGTCAAGGTTTTCTATATTTGAAATACTTGTACCTATATACATATTGAAGATTAACAAAATTGATTTTCAATTTTAGTTTCAGTTTTTTATTCTCAATTTGTTTTAGCCATATCAAATGGTATATATTTTTCTATTTTGGTTACACAATAATATATTTTTCTATTTTGTTTTAATCATAAGATTTGAATTCAGGATTTTTTACTTTCAACAAAAAAATAATCATTAATTTACTTAATTTGTTGATTGGCATATCAAATGCTGCTTAAATAGACTTAAATATGTTTTGTTTTAATTTTCTGTGAATGCAGTTTTCAACACAGATAATAATCATTCAGTAGTACAGACTTACAATGTCACTACATACAAGCTCTGCGATTCCAGCGACGATATGGGAAACGACACCATGGAATGGTCCAGCACGGGTCCTTCAGCAACGACGACGCATCCAGTGTCCGTGGCGGTTCCTCTCGTGAAGGAAGGGATCAACTATTTCTTCTCCGAGGATTACGACGGAGATCAGTGTAAAGCCGGTCAACATTTTCAAATAAACGTGACTCACGGCCAGGGCCTCCCGAAGAGCCTACAGGAACCATCCGAAGACGCTCCGGCTCCCAACAGTCCGGACTTTGCCGGTGCCGACTCCGCGCCGGACACCATTGTCCCGTCGAATTTCAATCATCCGATCGATGATGAAACTGATGATCATACCGAGAATTCAGGATCCAATTCTCTGTTTGGTGAGTTCTTCGTCAAGATACTGGCCAATGGCTTTGCGGTTTTATTAGGAATTTTCTTCATATTTTGATTATTTCAAGTTTGACCTTCTTTTCTTTTACTTTTTAAAATTAAACACCTTACTTTTGTTTGTGAGTGTCCGTGTGATTAGTAAATAGGGATTACATTTATTCTTGTGTAATATCAATAGAAAATTTAAGATTAAAGTTTTAATCAGTCGTGTTTTTATTGAAAAAGCAGGTTTTCTGTTTTGTAATAATGTAAGAGATTCTGTAGGAGTTCCTAAAATTAAGTCATATGTATGTGAATTAAAGGATAATTTTCTTTTTCTTGCCAACCCAAATTATATGATAAATCTATTAGTTCTATTTTCTTTAAAAAAGAAGAAAATCACAATTAAATGAGATTTATCTTTTATTGTTTAGATTGCTTCATAAACTTTTACTGTTGATATTATGAATCACTATAACACTTGAAAAATTTGAGGATGTTTTTTTATAACAAATATTTCAATGCTTAAATTAACAATACCTTATAATTTTTTTAAAAAAAATTTCGAAAAAAATAATTAAAAAAAAATCTAATAGAGTTATTACTTTATATAAAAATAATTAGAGAATTTATAAACTCTTCTCAAAACAATGTCATCATATGTATTGCCGCTCTATATAAACTCTTCTCAAAACAATGTCATCATATGTATTGCCGCTCTATTAGTACACTTGTCTCCCACCACGTAAGTATCTCATGATTGTTTTACTCGTGCATTTGGACTTTGCCAACGTTCCTTGGGCCTAAAGTCAATATTGGCCTATTCCCAACACCTACTATCCACTCTCTTCTTCCCGAAATCATCAACGATTATGCTCGAAGGAAAAGCAGAAGAATTACAAAAAGGAAGATTGAATTTAGTAGAGAGATAATAGGAGGGAACCAAAAATAGA